GATTCCTCCTCTGCTCATGTGAGTTTCACGAGGCAGCATCTCACTGTCCATTCAGACACGCCTTGCTGATTGTTTAAACAACCAGACACCCCCGCTATCTCACTCTTATGAAACGTCCACCTCATGTTCCGAGGCTGGCTACGAATACCCGACAACGCCGCTGTCAATGCCAGGGTCCCCTGGGATGATGCCGAGCCAACAGTAGATCAGCCAGCGGCGGCTGAAAATAGCTGCACAACCACCTCCAATCACAATAAGGCACATAGGCTGCGTGCACCAACACGCCAGACCAGAAAAAAAATTAAAAATTCACATATCAGAAATATCCCCACTTTTGCCGCTTCATTGACATTTGTCACGAGGGCACTTGGCAGCCTATAAAGTTGCCTTGCTCGATCCCAACTCTGCATGAGCGCATATTTGTGGGTGTGCGGAACCTGTGCCTTGTCCGAGCTGGGAGGCTGCCAGTCGGTAACACAAAAGGACGGACAACAAAACACCGGGAAGGGCTGAGGCTATGAGAATCAATCATCTGTTTTCGGCGTTCAGCCGCGGCGCAGGGACAAGACACAGCGGGATACAGACAACCACCAGGCATTTACAGGGCGAGATTAAGACGGCTGATATTTTGGTTCACCCCCCCTCTAGCCGCTTGACATGCTTGGGGCTTGCGACAAGAGTGTACGACATGTGGTATGATGACCTTTGGGGAGGAAAAAAAAAAACAAGACGGGACTTGGGGGATAGCCCGGAGACTTTCTTTGACTGTAGATTATTTCTACAATTGGTTAGGCGTTTTGGGGGAGTTGCTGCGCGGCGACGACACCCGGTTATCTATTTCTTTTCAGGAGGATACCAAGATTTGACTTATTAGCGAGCTCCTTTTGGATATGAGTATACGTTAGATGTACATCGAATAATGAGAATAGAAAAGCACACGACGTGCTCTTGATCGAAAGTTGCCGGCTACGGAGTACATGCGATGGTGGTTTGTCTGGTCCAGCGATTTGGTGAAGTGGTCTGGTTGGTGGGCACTGGAGCCATGAGGCTCTGAATCACGTCGGCGTCTTGGACGCATGGCATGGGCAACAAACGGCATTGATTGACATTTGGCATTGACACCGGCGATGTTCTGGTTGTGACGTCGACGGGCTGTCCCGCGCGCCAGTTCTGCCCCCCTCCGCACCCCTGGACCAAGAAACATTTGTAATGCATGCATATGGAGTACTCGTCGTCCAAGGCTTCTGACGCATCTGTCTCCGCTCCGCCAATACCTCCGACTTTTCCTTCTTGTCTCGGAGTTCGCGAACAGATTGATATGTGTCACTTGTGACGAGATGCAGGGCCCAGCGACGCCTCTGGGTGCTTCTGCCTCCCCCTCCCTTCGTGCCTTCCCCCCCTCCTTGGTGCTGCGGGACCCGACCTTGTTATTTTATTTTATTTAAATTATTTTGGGTGCGCATTTCTCCAAAGCCCTGGGCTGAGTACGGGATGCGGTGCTCCCATTTTGCAAAACCCAGCGAGGGATTGGGTGCAACCCTCCCTGCGTTCAGTGGACTGGGTAGTGGGCTGCGTGTCCAGGACCCTTGACGACGACGTGCATCCGCCTTTTCAGCCCGCCACCGAGCTGGTAGCATTCGACTCCATGGTGGTCCATACACTGGCGAACTAGGGCTCGTGTGCCTTGCGCCTTGTGCCTTGTGGTTTGAGGGTTTGCGGGTTTGAGGCGGGGACCTGGAGGGGGGAGAGCCCTGGAGGCGCGTCTGCTTTTGTCTTTTGCTGCAGCGAAGCGAGGCGACAAGGTGTGCGAGCCGTTACTAAAACGTGGCCGATCTGCCTACTAGTACTTGCTGTAGAATGGGAGGGCCATGGCCGGAGGAGGTATTGGAGACATTCCCACGAATGAAAGCCTGCGCCCGTGGGGGTGAATTGGGCGGATGCCACGGACTCTGGTGCCAGCATTCTGGAGGGCAACAGGAGGCTCTGCTGGGAGGGATGTGTTACACGGCTGCGTAAGAAAAGTTGGAGCACATGAGGAGAATCGCCATTACAGAGCACGCGACAAGTGTACAGCACAGAGGGTGGTGAGCACAGGATGGCTCGGATGCGACACTGGGCACTGGTCAGCGCCTTGGTCGGTATGCCAGGCAGAAACCAAGCACCAGACCACACGCACATATGTACACACGCACACCCTCGAACACTGGACGAACGAACGGGAGGGAGATTGATTGAGGCTGCCAAGGCCCCCCCCCCCCGGTGGTGAACGTGGTCGGACAATTTCGACCGGCCATTCTAGCAGCGTTGACAGAGAGAGAGAGAGAGCGACGCCTTGCAGTCGGTTTTTTGTGCCATGTTTCGGACGAGTCCAGACAAGGAAGACCGAGGAGAGACAAGGCGACAAGTTACAACTGCATTTGCAGGGTCCTTGTCCTTGACCGGGGGGGAGGGGTGAGCGTTGTGGAATGGACAAGCTCAACACGGTATTTCGAGTTTCTGCGCCAAGTGAAGAACAAAGGACGACTTCGTTTATAGATGGGCTTCTTGAATGGCCCGTTGGCTACAGTGACGAAACGGTTGAGAAATGGAGGAGCAAGACAGACGAGAGACAAGCAACACGTTGACAAGGCCTACTCAAAAACCGCCCGCCTGGAGAAGTGGCTTGGGTGAAGGGAGCGGACTCCGTGGGATACATTATACAACACACAATGCACCGTACTCCGTATTCAACGAGCAAAATACAAAATACTAGGCAGACGGCATCTTTACAGCATACTCGGTACAACAGGCGAATACTGACGACAGTGGTGGCAACGATGTCATGGGAATCAGAAACCTATGGGCGACTTGCGGGCTAGGCTGACTGGCAATCGAGAAGCTGCGCGGACATTGCAAAGGCAGACTACTCCGTACTCCGTACTCCATACGTTGTTCATGGTTGACGGGCCGTAAATCCGACAAGTCCATGGGTCTCGGCTTCAAGAACAAAATGCTGACTGCGTGCCGCGGGGGGCAGGTTTTGGCAGGGGAGCCACGACGAAGCCAAGATGTGTCAAAGTGAGCACCCCCAGTCAGTCAGTCAGTCAGCCAGTCAGTCCCTTTGCGTGTACGTATGTACGTACTACCAGGACACTGTGTATCCGGGCACCTGGGTACCTAGGTATGTATATCCGTCGAGCCCCGGCTGGCGAATTATTAGGTAGGTACAACCTAAGTACATAGGTGGTTAGATGACAGGCTCCAAGAAAGCAAGCAGATGTGGGAAAATGGGGATGGGGATGGCGGGAGCATCGAGAGGGCAGAGCTGCCATGAGCGCGGAGCCGCACCGCGTGGGAACAGACAAGGACAGGGAGGGACGGCGCAGCAGGCACAAGAATGATACATATGTACATATGTACATGCATTGTACATGCAGATGGCACTCTGAACAGATTAGACAATCAACATTGCCCACGCTGCAGCTAATCGAAGGCAGCATTAAACGAACGAACCCACAGCTCATAGACCCAGCAGCTGGGAGGCGGCCATAGTTGCCGCGTACGGACGATTAGCATTCCGCCCCCAAGGACATCATGTAGTATGTACAAAAATAAAGGCCAGGGCACTTGGACCTGGATGCGGCCAGGGACACGGACATGGACATGTTCTTGTTGATGACCGTGATTGATGGTTGGCTGCGAGTGCGAACGAAATGTGACGGCCAGCCATGTGGACGGGCTGTAGGGGGTGGTGCCGCGCCCCCAGGATGCAGACAGGGGGCGTAGGCTCTTTCTTTTCCTCCTTTTTGAATATGTATGTACTCCGTATATCTTGCCATGACGAAGCTTTGATTTGGAATAACCAACACATGGTATAGACCATGGCACGGCAAATTAAGGCGGTCGTGGACGGAGATGAAGCCGGCGAACAGGCAGACCGACTGGCGCCAGGGACAAAAGACATCCATTGATCACCTCCCATCCCACGTCGCCTCTGTCGCAATCCAACTTCCCCATACGGACCGAGCACGGAGTTCGGGCTTGTCGGTTTGCTGTGCTTGCCGGCCTCGTACGAGATACGACGTAGTAGTACTCCGTACCTACATAGGTGTTTAGTTACTGGCTTCGAGACACCGCGGTAATTGTCAATCCCATCTCTCCATACCCCGTAAACTACCCCATACTCCGTCTTCGTCATGAGACACCGGCTGACTGCCTGCCTCGTCGAGTTTGTGCAGAGCACATCCCAAGGGAGGAGGGGGGTGTATCGAGTCCAACAGAAATTATACTTTTGCCTGACAGAAACTAGTGCTATCTGCCTGGCCTCTTGTTATTTTCGGTAGCGCTAGTACTGACGTAGCATTCGCGAAGCGTTTAGGAAACTTCTTGCGCCTCGCGTGCTGTTGTACTCCGTACATGCTACTGCTTGCCGCGCCGCACGCCCATGGCCACGCCTACGCCTACGCCAGGCGGAGAACGGGCAACCGAATGCAGAATAGATACGCCCACATTGGATCGAAAACGAGCTTGTGTCCAATCACCGCGCTGAATGTGCGAGCTGCACATTCGACAGAGTTGCGCCCCCCAATCGAACGATGGCGTTGGAGTTTTCTTGTTTTGGGAGCAGGCACCATGTTTGGCTCGGCAGTTTCCCACGTTGGAAACTGTTGGCTTGTTGCTAAGAATTGCCTGTTGGGTCTGCCATGGTTGATAGACCAAAGAAAACGGATTACGGAGCGATACGTGAACATGTTTAGAAACATGGACGACTAGACACCCCCGCCACAAATCCCCATTGCAGTAACAGAGGAGCCCTGATGCAGTTATCCGAATCTATGCAATTAGCGTGGTCCGATAAACGAGCTGGGCCGGGCTGGGGCTGAACCTTGATCCATTTCCAACAGCCGCTGCATGTAGTAGTAGTACTACTCCGTACTCCGTACAATGAGCTGTGAACCACTTGACTGCATGCTACTGCAGGGAATAGCTTAATTGAGTAAACACCGGATTGGAGCAGCAGAATGCCTGACCAGATCCTGTACCTCTACGGTGGAGATCGGTATGATTGTCCTTGACTCATTTTCGCGTCACCGGCCAGTATTGTTCTCGAAACCCGAACCTTTCCTCCTGCTTTCCCTGTTTACGCGCACCCCTCTCCATTTTGCACCTCTCGAAATGCCCTCACATTCAATCCCAACATTGATTCTCTAACCTGGCCTCTTGCAGACCGTGGGCCTCAGACACCTGGGTGACCTCGGACGACCGCGTGCGAGGCGGCGCCAGCCAGTCCTATCTCACTGTCGAGACTCCCCAGCATGCCCGCTTCCACGGCCACCTGGACACGACGGCCCTCGGCGGAGCAGGGTTCGCCTCTCAGCACTCGCTGGGGACATTGTCGTTGAATCTCAAGGACTACGAGGGCATTATTGTCTCCATCAGGGGCCCGGACGAGGCAGACGGCAAGAAGTATGCCCTGACGCTGAAGAATGAGATTCTGCCTCCGAGGGGCGACGGTCGTGAACAGAGCACCGTGAGTTGGGAGGCGGAATTCGTGGCCAAGAAGCCCGGCGACGTCAAGCTGAGATGGGCCGACTTCAAACCCACGTACCGGGGCAGGGAGAAGAAGGATGCGGGCGAGCTGGATCTAGGGGACATCAAAAGGGTCGGGCTGATGATGAGGAGGTGAGTTTTGCCTGGATTGTTGCGTCCTGGCATTTGGGACGGGTGCTGACCGCGTGTAGCTTCTTTGGCGAGCAAGAGGGCGACTTTGAGCTGCACCTGTTTTCCATCTCGGCATTTAAGCACGTTCCGTACGAGACGGACAGTGTTGACGGCGATGAAAAGCAGCATCTGAAAGTACCGCATGGGGGATCAGAGGAGAGCGTCGGCAAAGAGAAGTGGTGGAAGTCATTGCTCTGCGGGCTAGTCTAGACATTGCGAGTCGTCGTCAACCCACATACCTACAACAATATCAATACCATGTAAATTGTGCCGTGGCAAAACTCTGTCTGCGCCGTTGTTGATAGTACTGAGTTACTAACTCTCGACGTCTTCATCGCCAAATTGTAAGTCTTCAACCCCGTCGACGCCAGCACGATCTTCCCGCAGCCCGATCTGTGGGGCGATCGGAGCTAGGATCTCCCAAACACCAAAACATCGTCAACCACTCCAGCGCCGCGATCGAGCTCCCGTCATGACGACCCAAACCACCGAGCCCTGACGCGGTCGATGCATCTGCAGCATGCACGTGCGCACGACGATGTAGAAGAGGGTAAAAAAGAAAGAAGAAAGAACACAAAATCTCCAACAGCCCCTTGACTTGTCTCAACCCTCCTCCGTCTCCATCTCATCCAGCAAAACCGTGCACGTCGTCACTTCCGCGACAATGCCCATCATCAACCGCCTCCTCCACATCACCAACTTCAAATCCCCTCTCCTCCGGACCATTGTTCCCTCCGTGGGGGCCGCGCTCGCCGTCCAACTCGCCGCCGGGCTGCCCAGCGTGCTCGCCTCCACAGAGCGCTTCTTCGACATCTCAGGCTCGCTCACCTTTCTCGCCGTCGGCGCACTCAGCCTGTACCTGCCGCACCTGCGAGGCCGCGCGGGAAATGCCACGCTGTCCAGGCTCTCCGCCTCCTGGAACTGGAGACAGGTGGTCGTGACGGGCATGGCCATGGCGTGGGCTGCCAGACGTACATCCCCCCCCCCCTTTCCGCCCTTCCCACCCCAGACATGTCCATATATTCTCTTCTTCAATGTCTCCTTGTCCTCATGTTACGCGTGGGCAAGCGTTGCTAACGTCCGCACAGTAGGGGCGTACCTCTTCCGCAGAATCAGCCAGGACGGCCACGACCCGCGCTTCGACTCGCTGCGCACGAAGCCGCTGCGCTTCGCGTCGGCCTTCTTCATGCAGGCTGTCTGGGTGTCGGTCATGCTCATGCCCGTCATGGCGGTGAATGCCGTTCCTGCCGCGGCGTTTGCGGCCGTGCCCCGGCTCGCCGTTACCGATGTGCTGGGCATCGGGGTCTGGGCGGGCGGCATCGCCTTGGAGACGGCGGCCGATGTGCAGAAGAGCAGGTGGGTGGAAGGGCGGAGGAAGAAGGAGCACGACGAGCAGTTTCTGAAGACGGGCTTGTTTGGGATGTGGTAAGTTTGCCTATATCCCCCCCTTGTCCCCTTGGCTTTCTGGACTCGGATAGGATGGGTTGGCTGCTACGGTTGTTTTTTTTTTTTTTGCTAATGATGGTGGGTGCCGTCTAGTCGTTTCCCGCATTACTTTGGCGAAATCTCCCTGTGGACGGGTCTGGCGACTACGTGCGCCGGTGTACTCGCTCTGAAACCTATTCAATTGGCTCTTGGGTTCCGTACGCCGGCTGGGATTGTTGCCACGACGGCCTTGTCTTTTGTTGCGCCTGCGTTTTCGGGTCTCTTGCTTACCAAGGTTTCCGGTATTCCGTTGACCGAGGCACGACACGATGAAAAGTACGGCGGAAGAGCGGATTATCAGGAGTGGAAGAGAAACACGCCAAAGCTTGTGCCCAAGTTATGGTAGGGCTTGCGGATTGTGTAATATCCTGGGCAGATGAACATGATTGTGGTTGGGGGAAAGCAAGGCTGTTGTTATATACGTGCCAGTAAGCAGTGGTTGAAGTGGTAGATTTGTTTTATTTATTCCTGCATATGCTTATGCCAGCTGCCCTCTGTGAATTCCTATAATTTCTTCGATTCATGACCAATCCCATGGCGTTCGCAGTCCGTTGTTTACATTACAATATATTTAATTAGCGGGCCTTGCATTTACTTGTGAAAAGATTTGACCTTTTCAATCTCGTCATAGCTGCCCATGAAAATGCCCGAGCGGTCGTGGATATGCTCGGGATCGACTTCCATCATGCGCTTCATGTTGCTGTCGAGAGCTTGGCCACCAGCTATTACTCATATATTAGCACGTCTCATGAAGCAAAATGGAGCACCTGAAAAAAAAAGGGGACAAAGAGAGAGGCATCATAGAAGCTTACCATTCTCAAAAACCATGGCCATGGGCGCGCATTCATACAAAATACGCAGCTTGCCCTTGGGACTCTTCTTGTCGGCAGGATAGGCAAAGATGCCGCCATACAGCAGCGTTCTATACGCATCGGCCACCATGGAGCCAATGTATCTCGAAGAATACGGCTTTCCATTGGACTGGGCCTGCTTCAACGAGTTAAAGTAGCTAATGGTGTTCTCCTCCCAGTACAGAGAGTTGCCTTCGTTGACGGAGTAAATGGCCCTCGACTTGGGGATACGCATGTTGGGGTGCGTCAGGATGAACTCGCCAATGCCGTTGTCGAGCGTGAAGCCGTTGACGGAGCTGTTCTTCATGGTGAGCACCAGTTGCGACGAGGCGCCGTACATGGTGAAGCCAGCGGCGATGAGCTCGGTGCCGGGCTTGAGGATGTCCTCCTTGCGGGCCGTGGAGCCCTCGGGGAGCTTGTGGATGGCAAAGATGGTGCCGACGGAGACACCGGCGTCGAGGTTGGAAGAGCCGTCAATGGGGTCGCACGCAACGGCGTAGCGGGAGCCCGTGGCATTCTCGAAGTAGATGATGTCTTCTTCCTCTTCGGAGACGAGCAGAGCGCACTTGTTGGACGAACGCATGGCCTCGATGAAGAGGTCGTTTGAGATGACGTCGAGCTTCTTCTGCTCGTCACCCGTGGTGTTGGAGGAGCCGGCCAGGCCGGTGAGGTTGACGAGGGTTGCGCGGCGGATGTAGTATGCGATGGACTTGAATGAGAACTGGAGGGCATGGCAGAGTAAACTGTATGGGAGCAATATTAGTTTTTTTTTCCTTTTCCCTTTTTTTGCGTGTACCCTGCTCATGTACATCCGAGGGGATTGCAAAAGGCAATCAACGTATAAACTTGAAATCGTGCACATACGTGAAGTCACCGCTGGCCTCCTTGTGCTTGGTCTGCTCCTCATTGAGGAACCGAGTCAGCGTCACAATGTTGGTGTTGACCTTTTCGCCGTTGCTGTTGTCCGCCATGATGCCGGTATTTCTGCGCTAACTTGTACTGTAGAGGGACGGTGATGGACAAGAGGTGTGAGTTCGACGAGGACTATGCCACAAGACGAATTGGCCTCGTTGTAATCGGCTGCTGTCGGGTTGACCTGCGGCAAAGCGTAAAAAGCTAACCTCGGTGGAGGGGCAGCGGGGTATCGTGACAAAGAGCTGCGAAGGCCAGCGGATCTCAGGAAAAAGAAATCCCGAGTTCGACGACGAGTATAAACGGATGAAAAGAAAAGAGCAGAAGAGGGGGGAATCCAAAGGGTTTGAGCACTTTTCTAGCCAGGAGAACAGGCACGAATGAGGTCACGATAATCATAAGGTAATATGTATGTAATGGCCGTGCCTCCCCATATTCCGTCCTCCATCCAACGCCAAGGAGGCCCGGCAGTCGTCCTCTTCCGCCAATCCGCCATGGGAATTCAGGTCCCCCGGGTCCGCTGGTCCTGCTCTTCCCGTCATGTGGTCTCACCCTCCATCCAAGCCACCGAGGGCTCCGGCCAGTCTGGAAGCGGTTATTCGAGGCTCGGTCCTCAACACCGAGCTGCTCGCGTCTCGAGCACCGACCGTGGGCATCCTCGGAAAGGGCCCCGTGACTGCTGGGAAACTTGGGGGCGCGGGATGCGGGAATCCACCTACGCAAGAGGATTTCCCGGAACTTGGAAGGGCAATTGAACTCGGAACTGTTGAACACATTTCTATGGCGTTGCGGCTAAGCTGCTGGAGTGGCTTGTCGCCTGTGGCGCGTGCTTCCTGAGTCCTGACAAAGCTCACGTGCCTCCGCGGATAACGGTTTCTCCGCACCGATATGCCCCATCCCCCCGCCGCCAATTAGGCTGCTCCATAATGGGCAGTCGTCGCCGAAATGCACCCTGCTTTCCCCATGGGACCGTCGACGTTGAGAAGCAGAAAGCCTCGGCATGTGCGCGACCACGTTTTGCACCGATGCCGCCGGACACCCGCTCCTGATATGCGCATCGCATTCTCCAACTCGCCCTTCCTTTCTCCCACGCCTCACGTCCATATTATATCCAGAATTGCCCGCCTCCCCGCCGGCCCTCTTACTTTGCAAAATCTCCTTCTCCTTCTGCTGCATCTGCTTTATTCCGGTCCGCCCGTCACGTCACAAAAAACAGCCCCGCTGCCCTGCCCGTTCGACTCGGCTCACTCCGGTCCCCGGCCGCTCGTGCAACTCCAACAACCCACCACCCTCCATTTCTTGACGAGAAGACGCGAAAACAGAAACATATACTCAAATACACACCTAGGTCATCAACACTGCAGCCGTCAAAATGGTCGTCAACACGCTCGTGTACCACCCCTCCGTCAAGCACTACCTCAGCTTCGTCGCCACCACCGTCGGCCGCGACAAGCTCCTCCGCACCATCCAGTACTTCGCCCGCTTCTACGCCTGGTACCTCCTGCGCACCAATGCCACCAAGGCCCAAATCGCCCCCTGGGACGTCACCAAGAAGCAATTCGGCCTGACGCGCAAGATCCTCCGCGTCGGCAAGAACGTCGAGCACCTCAAGGCCGCCGTCGAGACCGCCGACAACCCCAAGCCCGTCGACGCCTTCCTGCGCTACGCGGGCATCGGCAGGCAGATTGGCTACGCCGGCTACCTGACCTTTGACTCTGCCGCGCTGCCCGACGCCGCCGGCATCAAGAAGTGGGACAAGGCCAAGACCGTCCAGGCCTACGGGTACAGGTTCTGGGCCATGGGCCTGGTATTCAGCATCTCGGCCCAGCTGTATACGCTGTATCAGCTGAAGCAGCGGGAGGCCAAGATTGACCGCAAGGACGGCGAGGGCGTCATCAACAGCAAGCACATCGCCCGGTGAGTGAGAAATCCAACCCCCCGCTTCTTCTTTCGTGTGTGTGTTTTGCCGTATCCATAGCCTTGTCGGCATCAGAGCTATCTTTTTTTTGTTTTTGTTTTTGTTTTTTGACGACATTTCACGAGTGACTAACTTATTTTTTCTCCCCAGCGAGCGAGCCACTAGCCAGCTCCAGCTCATCTCTGACCTCTGCGATCTCACCGTTCCCTCGTCTGCCCTCGGCTGGGCTGGTTTCGACGACGGCTTCGTTGGTCTCGCCGGTACCCTGAGCAGTTTGATCGGCGTGTACAACCAGTGGAAGAAGGTCACCGCAAAGCCGGCCTCCAAGTAAATTCAAGACGATACCAGGAGCCGAGACCGCACCGTCCAGGTCCGACCAAATGACGACGCCTTAATGGATACAACACACACCGTTGCTGTGACTAGTTTGCCATTTCGCTCCCGCTCCCACATGCTAGGGATCGGCAAGAAATTGTAGTTATAGTACGAGAACCAAGACAGAAATGTCGGTTCGCATACCTTGATCTGAGCGGCCAAATCGTTGAATATTTGTTACGAACCTTTTCATGCTTTTATAGATTCTTTAATTCCATTTTTGGTTACCAACAAGGCGATTTACATTTTTCTAGTGACTGAATACTGGAGCCTCAAGGATCCAAATTTCAAGTCGTACTTCTATCACGCAGGGTATAGAAACTGTTAGGGAAAAAAAACAGAATTAAATTGATCAAGAGCAACACATCAAAGAAAGTAACAAATATCGAAACGCAAAAGAGGCGTGACGTGCATTCTGATAATCGTACATATCGTGGTCGTTCGCTGCAAAACCTCGAGTCGAGCATCTGTCGTTCTTGATTCTCGACTTTAGTTACTTTCCCCAGACGCCCTCGTTCACTTTTGCTTTGTCATCACGCCCATCCAGTTCGTCCATTCAGGCCCATCAACCCAACCATACTCCCATGAATCCGCGCCGTGGTAGCTCTGCCATATCTTGGAGACCAAATTTTTTTTTTAAAAAAAATGAAAATGAAAAAAGTTACTGTCGAGCAATTTGTTTTCCTGCACACCCTCACTCCTCATTATCATATTGAATATCCCCCCGGCCGTAGTATAGCGTAAATGGCAATTCGGTTCTCGTTAATTCTTCAGCCTTCCCATGTCCATACTAATGGAATGTGTTTACCGTGGCGAAGTTCCGACGGGCAATCATCTATTACCATAGGTCAAGGCCAAGTTCATCCATCGAGATACGATTGGCTCTGCCAAGGTGGCAGGCTCAACGCTCAGGGCAAGCAACAATGTGCTAGGAATAGAAATTACCAGTAGCGTCCACCTCTGTCATATTCGCGAGCATATCCATCACGCGGTGGGTACGCAGGTTCTCGAGGGGGAAAGTCCCTGGGAGGTCGATCATACTGACGACCGTTGGCATAGGGATCCGGCGGCGGGGGAGGATAGTCTCGACGGTATGGGTCCTCGTAGCGGCCTCGAGCCGGAGGGTAGTCCTCCACGGGGGCAGGTCCTCGAGGAGGAGAGCGATAACGGGCTCTGTCTTCGTGATACTCGCGTCTGGGACTTCGATCGCGATAGCCATAAGGACCAGGGTCTCGGTTGTAACCACGAGGGGGAGGGCCACGTCGATCGTATTCGTCAAATCGGGGAGGCACATTATTGTAAGGCCGTCGGCCCCCAGGCGAACGTGAGCGACCGCGACCATCCCGGGGAGGCATATCCGGCTGAGTCTACAGCGATACGCGTCAGCAAGAAGGCTTTACTTATATATGAGGGACTTGAAAAGGAAGGGGTGACAAACGTCGGCAATGCACTGGACTCGATTTCCCTTAAATTCTCGACCATCGAGCTTGTCTACAGCGGTTCGAAGGTCGGCAGCGGTCTCATACTCAACAAAGCTGGTGGACAAGTTAGTACAAGGCCAAACTATGGAAGCAATGGCTGGTTGGGACAACATACCCCCTGCCGTTAGAGTCTCGTCCCGTCTCGGAATATACCACGTCAAGGCCGGGCTGACGCGCAAAGTCTTTAAGGTCCTATATCCAGAAACCGCGTAAGTCCTTGTCCCCAGGAGCGACGGCATATTTGTGCGACGGCAAAGCAGCTCAAAGTCCACATAGCCGAAAGACCGCATCATACATCCCATTGTACAACAAATCAGACACCGCGAGCCAAGGGGGGGAACAGCCGGTAGCCAGGATGTGTCCCAAGGAGGATGGCGGGTTGTGGCAGTCCAAAATTACACAAGAAGCAAACAAGCCTCAAGGCGTTGAATCCCAGCCGACAAGAAGGTGCAGAAAGGATCCAAGTGACACAGGTGGGAAGCAAGATATCCATAGGGTCCAGCGACAAAGAGCGGGGAGATGTAGACAGACCTGCCAACTGGTTTCGTTTGGAAGCCCGGTGATTTGCATCCGGTGAGGAGTTCGTCGGGGTCGCGGTGGAGCGCGCTCATGGCCGCTGAAACCACTTTCCCTCTGTCGCGGTCCACGGGCAAACTGAACAGTGAGACGCTCTCCCATGAAGTCAGATCCGTCTACATGGTCCGTGTTAGCAAGACACAAGGCCAGGGAGGGAGCGTTTCGGAGGTTGGGCTGCCAGCGTGGGCGCGGCCCAAGCCAACGCGAAGGGGGTGCGTCACATACGAAAGGCTGTAAAATCGACGACGGCGAAAACAAGGCCATTGAGTTAGCAAAGTCGCGTTGCAAAAAAAAAAAAAAAAATAATGATGAAAAAAAAGTTGTTGTCCAGAGAGACAAGGTAAAATGGAGTCAAAGAAGAAAACAAGAAGGCTCAACTAACCCGGAACGACGTCTCGGGCATCCATAGGGTCCTTGTATTCGATGAAGCCGAAGCCATTCATCAGCTTGACCTCAGTGATGTCTCCGGTGCCATGGGTCGCAAAGTGAGCCTCGATGTCGGCCTTGGTAGCTGCCGGGAAAGCGAGTCAGTTGGAATCCAAAGGGGCGATGAGAGTTAGAAGGTGATGATGGGTTATGGACCATTGCGAGGAAGGTTGCCCAGGTAGAGCCGCGTATTAGAGACCTCAGTCGTCATGATGGCGGTGGGTGGAGAGCGGAGAGCGGAGGGCGGAGGGCGGAACGGCGGTGCGTCGAGGATCACCGAATCCTGGAGGGTTGTGGGAATGAGGCCAGTAGATGGCGGTTGGGATGAGAAAGAGGGATCCGAGGAAGCAGAGCAAGCACTGGAAAGTGTCGTCTTGGTCACGGCTGCGAACTTGGCCTGGGGGGGGGTCAAGAGGTCAAGAGACCAAGAGGTGCTCAAGTGAGGAGAAGCCTTGGGAAAGCTGCCTTGCCTGCGTGTCCCGTGTGTCTGTGTCCTGCGTGTGTGTGGTGTGTGTGGTGTGTGTTCAAGTGACCAGAACCTGTTTTTCCTTGCCAGAATGCGACACTGAGGCTGAGGCCCAACATTGGACGCTAAGCCGGGCGGTGGCAGTCGGCAAAAACGCATCATGGTGGAGGCGATTCCGCTTTTCTCGTTACTGGCTGGCGCACGAGTTGGTGGGCACTGGTCGATTTGATGTCAATACATTGTACTCCATACGTGGGTAGTAACCGATGAGCATCATCGTCTCAAGAGCGGTTGGTGACCATCAAATTGACACAAATTAACACAGGCATAAAAACACACCGCGAACAAGTCTTCAGTCATTATTGACATGTTGAACAACCAAGCCGCACCATCATCGCCAGCTACTTATGCGACGTCGTTTCCCAACTCACCTGTTCACCAAAGAAAACCCACTGTGCCTCTCGAGACGCCGTGCCACGCCATGCTTACAAAACACCACTCATTGAATTCAACCAGACCGCCGCCGGTTCCTGTGTCATGACTCGTTTTATTAACCCCCCCTCTTCTCAGATATCACCTTGCCCACGTCGCTTCGCCGGCTAAGAATCCTCAAACATGATGGATATGATTTCCTCCAGCATTGTAAATACTAAATGCGCGCTGTCCGGTGTAAATAAGTCAGTATCTATACAAAAAGCTACCAAATTTTAAATGCCGTTTCATCATAATCAGGAAAACCACTCACTTAAGCCGTGAATTATTCAATGTAGCAAAGATACGCCGACTAGCAGTTTGCGCATTCGCTCTGCCAACAACATTCCCTGCCAAGTCCGGCACAAGTGTAGCCAGCATGAGACTTGCCTCTGTGCGAGTCTTCTTCTTTTGCGCTTCGGATCTTGGCTTCCTATCGCGCTGCAATACCCCGTTGGGCCACATGCTGTCCTCCACCAGAGCAATATATCGCAGAATAGATTCGTCCTGCAGCAGCATCTTGACAATGTCGCGCACCTTCCTCTCAATAGTGCCTCCCAAAAGTTGCTGTAGGACCACGACAACTGCGCGCCCACGAAGCCAATTATTTCCTCTGTTCAGTTCAAATACTTCCAAGAAGATGTCGCAGATGGGCTTGATAAAAGGCTCCAGTTCCTTGTTTTCGAATGCGTTCAGTTCCGCTTCCGCCTCTGCGGCCGGGAAGGCCTCTTCATTCACGTTGAGTGGCATCGCATTAAGTTGGTTCGTGGCGGCGGCAATGAGATTCTGACCAGCCACAGATATCTGGTCCAAGACGGGAATATTGCCCAAAATATCGTCCATGCCATCCGCGACGGAGTCATAAAGTCTGGACACAATGTCCTTCTTGTCTTCGCGGTCCAAGATATCCTGTCCAGGGGTAATCACACTTTGGGACAAGAACGCGCGAAGTTCTCTACTACGACATACTTCGGGGAGGAGAAGCAGCTCTCGTAAATACTTCTCCAGGGCCTCTCTTCTCTTGCGGAGGAATTCGCTTTGGAATTTCATGACAACTCGTCGGCGAGGGAAATCCAAATTCCTTACTGACGGGTATCTGGATCGTAGCTTCTGGTGGAGGTCGTGGAACTCACTGTATCGTCTCGTGACTATCCATGATGCGGCAGGCATTTGCTCACCAGCGTTCCGTTGCACTTCGACAACATACATGGCAAATTCTCTGCCATCGTCCTCCCTTCCAACTTGAATTGACTTGATCTTGACTGAAGACCGGCCGTAGAGACTATTGTCACTCTCCTGAACAACGTACTGCTGTCGTTGAAGCTCCTTGCGTCGAATTTCTCTTTGCAAGCTTGCCTTGGACTTGCGCAAAATTCGCAACTCGGATGTGTTGTTTGTGAGCTCAGCCTTTCGCGTCAACGAGTCTACAATGGCTTCTTGCGCAACTAGACGGTCAATATCGTTGGTCAAAGCAGTTATAGCTTCAGCAAGACCGAGGTCACCCGGTGCTGCTTCATGGACCTCTTCGTCTTCGTCTTTGTCGGTATTGCCTTCTTCGGCGTCTTCAACCTCGTCTGCGAGAAATTTATCTTCATCTCCAAACAAATCATCATCCACAAAAACGCCGATTCTGGACGCCGCGCTCACTAAACCCAAGGACGACAAACTAGGCTTCTCCTGATCTTTAGCGGCTATTACGGGTCGTCCAGAATCGATTGAGTCCCGATTGGACTCGCGGTCATTGCTCGTCAAGAAGCTTCCTTCAGCGTCTTCAGCGTCTCCAAATAGCGAGGCTCGCAGATCTTCTGCAGTTTGAGGACGGTCATCATCCATGATGTTGTTCAGGGCTTCTTCGACAGCTTGAACAACGTGTGTATCTGGGGTCACCTGTAGCGGTGGTTCAGGTTCACCAGCACTATGTACCGAGTCCATTAACCCATCATTGTCTACATCTTCGTCATCAAACAGTGGTGCTGAGCCAGGCTCATCCAGCGACCGCCGAGACTGCGTCAGAGGATCTGGCCCGTTGGAGTTGCCGTCCATGCCCCGCAGGTCCGATGCGGAATCGGATCGCCTGGTGGTGTAGCTGGAAGCCGACGTTGCAAGTCGAGAAACCGGCTTTGGTTTGGCTTGGTAAGATTGCGATGCTCGGGTTGTAGGTGGATGAGTTGGGGGTAAAGGGGGCGGCGCCAAGCTCGCGGTGGACGACTCTTGTGACGCAAGGCACTTATAGTACAAATCAGACTTCTTGAAACCGTGGTAGTGTTGCGACTGCATTTCCTCCAACACTGCGCTTTGTGCTTTTAGAATAGACTTCCTGGCTCGATGGTATTGCAGCGGCGTTGCAGATTTTCCAGCTTCAAGAAACTGACGAACCTCCCGGCGCGACGAGTCTGGGACATGTAATTCAGGCTTCGACAGATACGCTCGGTTGATTTGCTGCAGGTCCATTCGATCAGACTCGGACCACATGGATAGGTTGGAGGAGGCTGCTTCATCCTCTTGACCATCGTCTTCCAATGGATTTCGAAACCCATCAACCACGAGCCAGAACTGCACAAGAGACATTAAACGTTGCCGGTCCATGTACTCCATGAAATAAGACAGTCCAGATGCGTCTCTCAAAAGTTCCACAAGAGAGACATTTTCCAACTTGGAGGTGACAGCAGCAGCGGGCGCAGGTGCTGGGTTAAATGAAATGGGCAGTCGATCGCCACCAGCGGCCAGATGCTGAACCCTTTGATCCAATAATCGCTTGCCCATTTCCAGGCGCCGCAAATACGCCGGGTCCTGGTTCACCTGTAGCGAATCTCGTTTTAGTTGACTAGCGACCTCGCTGCGGAAACGGCGTGCATCTGACAAGTTGTTTACTTTTCGTATGGCCCGAATAAACTTTTCGAACTTGCGCTCACTATCGCCTGGTGCAAGTCGGGGAGCCGGTGCCATTTTCACCGTCCGAGGTGTTGGTGATGCATGCTGATCAAGAGCTGCCCTGAGCTTGCGAACTGTCGATCTGTCTTGCAACATGGTACGGCCGTAACTTTCCATGACTTGGTTCCAAGTATCGGGATCTGACAATAACTGTAGAACGGGAGACATGACAGCACAGCTGACAATCTCCCGGATAATGATAGACACAGATCGGCTAGCTAGCATCTTCTCAGGCAGCACCTTGGGGATAATTCTTTCGGCCAGTGACCGTAGATAATCTTGCTGCACCATCTTGGTATCCGGAAAAGAGAGCGAGGCAGCAGGGTGTAAATTTCCATCTTTGTACTTGGAAGCAATGGCAAGGTCCAGCTCTTCAGATTCCGTAACCGAGCGGTTTAACTTTCTGCCTCGCACAGACTTTTCAGCATCGTAGAAATCGCGGAAGTGCGCCGTGAGAATGGGGATAAGTCGGCTCGTAACAATCTCGGCTAGATCTTTGTGACGCAGCGTTTCGAGCAGATTCGTAATTGCCAGGCGCACTGCCCGATCAACCTCGTTGGGAAAGACCGGGTTCCGGCTAATATGAGAATACCAACTGTACACAAAGTCGCGAAGAATCAGGTCCAACAGGCCATCGACAGCATCAAGAACATGCGGTGAGCACCCCAGCTCCAGTCTCTGCTTCTCGTAGGCTTGTCGTTTCCTCAAAGCGGACACTTCTTTCTTCCACCGACCAGCACCGAGAAAAGATGCCCTAGGAAGCTGATACGGCTTCCGTTGAGGTCGCTGCGAAGTCAACAGCAAGGTTGCGACGAGGCCGATAATGGAGACGAGGATGCCGGCGACGAATGCATAGCCGGCCCATCGTAGCACGGAGAACCAGCTCACAGCATAACCCCAAGCAACGAAGGCAGCTACGGCAGCGATAGCCACATCTCTTTGCTTTAGGGCCATGGCCAGAGCTGCAGACGATGGAGCAGCATGGTCTGCCGTCTGGTTACCAAGTATGAGGGATCGAGGGTCTTTGTGGAGGTCAAGTGTTGAAGGGGTCTGGTCGTAGGGGTATCTCGAGTGGTTGCAGGGAACACTTGAAACCAAGGGACTGGAGCGATAAAGGGCGTGGAGCACTGTCTCCAGACTACGTACAAAGTACTCAGTGCTTACTGACAGAACAGTGCTCTTATCGATAATGCTGAGGACCACTGGAGCTACAGGAGCTTTCTGCCCAAACTGTCTTAGTGCTGTTGTCAGAACCAGGGAAGTATTTAGGTACTTCATACGGAGTATACGTACCGCCTACTCCGTACTCCGTCAACGGGTCAACCATTATGCATGCATCAGACCTGGGTACCTTCATTGGGGCATCAACTCTTCTCGAGCCCTGCCACACAAACAAACTACAAAGCACTGCGAGACAACTTTTGCAGGGTGGATGCACAATGACCGCACATGCAGACGTTTGGCTACAGCCAAAGCAAATGGTGTCGAGTGTACTTGAGCATTCATGTTGGGCATCCATTGTCCCCTCCGTCTAAGCTGCGTAATTTCCGGGAATGACAAGAGACAATTTCTCACCCGCCTACTCCCACGGAGGGTCTTCGATGCGCCGAAACAAGGCTACAAACTTCTGTCCCTTATTCCTCGCCACCTTCTTTCCTTCTTCCGTCTCATTCTGCATCACTTTGACACACTCGTCCTTCTCCTCCTCCTCCTCGGAAACCCGCTCAAATGAGGGGTGAGCATCCAGATGCTGCACCATCCAGTGGTGCAAAGCTTCCACATCTGTGATGGTGTATACAATACCCCCAGGTCGCAGGGCGTAAGCATACTCCGAGTTCAATGTTGTCGAGACAATCCTGGCCTTGTGTTTTCTGGCCTTGAAGTGTGGGTCGGGGAAGCAGATGAAGATCTTGCTCAGTTGGGCTTTTTTGAAGAAGTTGGGGAGAAACTTCATAGTGTTGGCTCGTATACAGGCGGCATTCTGGTATAGTTTGCCTTCATTTTGCTCCCGCAGTGCCCATATTTTTTCCTGCACAAACTGTGTTACACTTGTTCTGATTTCCAGGCCTGCAAGTTAGATTAGTCTCACGCAATGCCCTCATCCAGCCACAATAAATGGGGAGTACACATACCTAACAGCAGGGTCTCTGGTAGAAGAGTAGCCAGTGCGACAAGTAAACCTCCAAAGCCGCATCCAATGTCCACAACTTCCACGTCTTTTGTCAACTTTTGAGGGTGAGTCGATTCTGCTGGGGGGGTGTCTGCTACGTATGCCGGATAGTACGATGACCAGTCCATTGCCTCCGGAGATGACGGGCTGCAAAAAGAAGTCAGCACACGATACTTACAAGTATTATATCCGACAAGTCGAAGTAGTACTCAGGCAGTAAACATACTATTCAAGGGTGTGATCTGAGAAGGGATTGGCATGAGCACGCTGTCGATAAAATCGTTTCCGTGGGAGTCTCGCGACACCAGCTTGATCCTTGGCATGGCTGAACTTCTGGCGGTTTTGCCGCTTATTTGGTGCCCCGGGCATATTGAGAGGCTTTCCCTGTCGGCTTTTGCGTGTGCTGCGTGCAATCGCTTTCATAGACAGATACCTACTAGGTAATAGATATCTTATTGAGCTCCTGGTCATGAGAAGCACTTTTGCGCCGACTTTGTCAAGCAATGTGCCAAACAGGAAGGCGGTGAAAACGGACTCCCGCCCACACCATCTCTTTTAAGTGGTGCGCCATATCTCCTTGCGCCCGCTTGACCCGGCAGCCAGACATGTCATCACCTCTCCTGCGTCGTCTCCAAACCGCAAGCCTCAACAACGAAAGATCAACACTTCCTGCACGCCCCGGGAGCGTACCTCGTAGGCTGTATCGCGACCATCACTGTGTATAGTTTGCTTCACGTAGCAGCAATAATGTCTGAACCTGTACAGACAGGCTCCTGGGACTTGAGTCACCTCTTCGTCCCTCAGTCTTCTTCCTTTGTCATTCGGTCTATTTCAGCTTTATGCGTATGCGCGTCCAACACCTCATACTCACGGTGGTCTAGCTCTAACATTCGCGCTTTTGGAAATAGGCATTTATTGGCACCATTTTTATTTTACCGTTATTCTTCTTCCTTGCCATAGACATATCTCTGTGGGTATGGAGGCACCTCTCGAGTCGAAGCGAACCCCAGAACAGCCAGTCAACGTCGCTAAGCTCTAGCACAATGAAGACCTCGGCCACTTCTTCCACGTCCTCCACAAGCGTGACAACGCTGGGCGGACAAAGGACACGCAAGAAATGATACAACTACTCTCCACGCACAACTTAGAACATTCTTTCCTTTTAGGATTTTTGGGATGTCTGTCATTTGTTTAGGAAAGCTGGCCAATAACTTTGATTAAGTCTGCAGTTACGCCCATTGCGGTAACATCTCCGCCAGCGCCAGCGCCCTGAACAATAAGAGGGTTGCTTCCGTACCGCTTTGTGTAGAAGCTGATGATGTTGTCACTACCCTTTAGGGCAGCAATCGGGTGGGATGGGTCAAATGTCTGGAGACCAACCTTGACATCCTTGGCGCCGACGTCGATGCTGCCAACGAATCGAATAACCTTGTCCCCAGCGGATGCCTTCTTCTCTTCCATCTGCTGATCAAAAGATGGAAGCTTCTCCAAGAACTCGTCGCCGCTGGAGCAAGACTCCAACTCCTTGGGAATCAAGCTCTCCACCGGGAAGGAGGTTGGTGACTCAACGGGCAAGCCGGCCAGACGAGCCAAAATGGTCAGCTTGCGGGCAACATCCAAGCCGTTAAGATCGTCTCGAGGATCGGGTTCCGTATAGCCAAGAGCCTTGGCTTTCTTAACTTCCTCTGACCACTTACCACCACTACCAGTGAGAGGAGCAAAGGAGTTGAAGAGGAATGACATGGTACCACTGAAGACACCTTCAATCTTTGTGACTTCGTCGCCAGTCTCCACAAGATCTTTCAAAGTCGAAATCACGGGCAAGCCGGCGCCAACGGACGACTCATGGTAGACCTTGGCTCCAGAAGCGGCGGAAGCCTGGAAAATATCCTGCCACAACTGATATGATCCAGAGAAGGCCTTCTTGTTTGGGGTCACAATGCTAACGCCAGCCTTCAGAGCCGCGGGGTATGTTTCAGCAACGTCTTGGGAACTTGTGTTGTCGACGATTATGGCTTTGCCAGGTGCCTTGCTTAGGTAGGCAACTAGGTCGGTCAGAGTAGGGGGAGCCTTGGAGGAAGCGGCCAGAACGTCTATTGCGTTGTCCAAGTTGATAGCCGAGTAATCGTCATTGTAGAGAGCTTTGCGACTAGTAGCAATGTAACAGAGACTCAACTTGGGGGACGGTCGGCGGACGGCGAGATCTCGGAGCTGGGTCAAGAAGCACTTTCCCACCCCACCAGCGCCTGCATCCGCCTGGTGTTTAGCATTCGACTAGGAACTAGAATTCACATTCCATTAACTTACCAATCACGGCAATGAAAATCGTGCTTGCACTTGCCATATTGTAAGGTGTTATTGGTAGAGCCAGGTGTGAGGAGACAATTTCTCTGCTATCCGATAGCGGGGGAAGGCATTTGGCGTGATCGTTGTGGGCTTGGAGTGGAGGGGCAGACTGTGGCTAGGCACGGAAGTACGTATGTATACATAACTACTCCGTACTTGTGGCTAATGCGGTGGCTGGGTTAAATTATCGTCTATCGTCTTGTAGTCCAACACCAGATGACCATCCAAGATATCTCATCTTCCAAGTTGCAAAATTTCCGTCTCCAGACCAGAAGGATCCTAATGTGCCAGACAAAAGCATATCTGATGCTACGAGTCAGAAGATGAAGCGTTAGCACCCCAAGGCTCATTGCATCGAACCTGAGCTGAGCCTAGCGCCGGATTTGTTGATTTCTATTTTCTTTGCATCTTCAAGGAGAACGCACAACCTTACACATACATCAGTCTCACATATCCTTATAGTCGCAATCGGCACCTTGCATTGCCGGACAATAGTAGGCTATATACAAGATGCCTCAAGATCCAAACCTGTACGGCCAGCGGCCTGCCAAGAAGCAAAAGAAGAACACGGCACTTCCATCTTCTCTAGATTTTACAGCACAGTTGACTTCACTCATGTCAAACACCACATCATCCACATCGACTTCGGGACGTACTAGGCCTTCCAAGGAACCAAAGGACGATATATTCCGAAGCAGCAAACCAAAGCAGCAGAGCTCCCGAAAGGATGATGGCAAACTGGTACTCAAGGAAGTCGCCGGAACGGAAGAAGAGACACAAAATCTGGCGCGTGCGAGGCGGAAAATGGAAGACAAGGCGCGGCTCTATGCAGCGATGAAACGAGGGGACTACGTACCGAAAGAGAATGAGGCGGCTCCTCTGGTGGACTTTGATCGGAAGTGGGCAGAGAATGTTGAGGGGAAAGACTACTCAAGCTCAAGCTCTGACGACGACGACGGAGATGATGGCAACGATGTGATTGAGTACGAGGATGAATTCGGACGACTCAGACGCGGGACCAAGGCTGAAAGGGAACGGATGGAGCGTCGAGCGCGGAGAGGATTACTGGGCGCAGAAGAACTCGAGCGCATGTCCGCGCGACCGAGTGCGCCTACGAACCTGATTTACGGGGATGCTGTACAGGCAATGGCTTTCAATCCGGATGACCCCGAGAAGATGGAAGAGCTGGCTCGAAAGCGGGACCGTAGTGCAACACCACCGGACCAGAAGCACTACGACGCTGACAGTGAGATTCGGACAAAGGGCGTTGGCTTCTTCAAGTTCAGCAAAGACGAGGAGACCAGGACCAAGGAAATGAAGGAGCTGGCAGAAGAACGCGAGCAAACTGAAAAACAGCGCCAGGCTCGTGAGGATCAAAAGGAAGCCCGGCGTAGAGAAATTGAAAAGCGCCGACGCAACATGGGCACGCGACGGGCTCAACGGCAGGCGGACAACTTCCTCGAAGGATTGGCGGAGTGAGAGGCTCTGTCAGACAGGACAACGGGATGAGAGGGATAGGGAAGGACGATTTAGATCGGTCGCGTATGCAACCATGTTCTCGTCCAGTTACGGAGCACAAGAGGAGACTAGGCATGTATTATCAATGAAACCAACCAGCCTCACTTTTGAGACGGAGCCTATCACCTGCTTCCGAATGTCCCAAAGCCACCCCCCGAGGCATTTAGACAGGGCACTCTTTTATCCAGTTCTGTCAAGTTGTTTCGATGTATTCCTAGCGTCTCAGGCTGGCCGAGCCAAGCCACTTTTGATGTGTTTTTGTGTCTTTTCGCATTAGTTCTGATGGCTCTTTAGAGAAGTTTTTGCGCTGATTTAACGGGGCCATCACTGGCGATGGCTTTCATGAACCAATGAAACCCCAGGCTATTCCAAGGAGGTGCGTGTCTAATTTCGCGTTTTGCTTCCTCCACCCCGCGTATTCCGTATTACGGAAAGGCGCCAGCGACCAGGAGCACGAGCGTTTTCGGGACCATGCAAGTCAATTGAGCGCAGGTGGAGGTGGGCGCGGAGCTGAAAGGTTTCGGCATCTGCTTTCTTGGGAAGATGCTGGTTGCAACCACGGCGCAGCAAAGGCGGCCAGGTAGGACTGCGGTCCTCCGTCTGGGTTGTGTGCGACACATGAACAGTTGGCAAAGCCCACGACAGGTATCGCAAGAGTGCTGGGGCAAGCAATCGAGAGATACACAACCAACTCTGGCGGCTTTCAGCACCTTGCCGTTTGATGCCAGGACGGGAGGAGTCGTGCTGCGCCATGGGTCGCGCTGCCGCATCGCGGACGGCCAGTCTCAACACGGTTAATGCGAAAAAAGTGTGAGTCACCGGTCGGACCCACCGGCTAGCGTATTGGACGTACGAATTGTACTCCGTACGCTTGGAACCGAAAGGGCGCGGTACCTGGCGAGGCGCCTCACGCCTTTAACAGCCTCGAATACGGCTGTGCGCGCAGCTCTGTTAGGGCTGTATGCGGCTTTCAGCCGGCTCCACCTGGTACCGCACCCGTGGACGCGTGCATTCCGCTGCTTGCTGCCTGAGAAATACAAAACCTCGCAAATTTCTCGCCCAGCCCAACGTCTGACTCTTCTTCTCCTCCACCCCCAATCTTTCCTCTACCACACAAGTCACAAGTCAGATCAACGCCTCAGGCGGCCTTCAAGATGCTGTAAACTACCTCTTTTTGAGAGTTCCCCCACAAATCGTCAAAATTTCGTCTCAAGACATAAACAACATTTACCCCACTCAATCTTCCCCCCGTTCAGCTCACCTTTCGGTTGATCTGGACTTCAGCACTGCTATAGAAAGCATCAGCTCGAGTTCTCCTCTCACCACCGCCACCATTTCGGCCCAAGACTTTCCAGTCTTCACCACGGATACTCAATCAACATGGCTTCCCAACTCCCCATCAGCCCTGCCGGCACCATCCGCGCACCAACTGCAGAGCCCCGTCGAGAATCAGCAGGATTTTGTCTTGTTCGACAACCCTCAGCCCCGTCAAGTCCTTAATCGGTCTTCTGTTCCGCTGTCCAGCCAGCGCCGTCATTCATACCACAATCGCAGAGACAGGCTTGTTTCTTCAGCTGTCCAGAATCAGCGAGTGGCCCAACTACTCCAGGCTATTGGACACCAATCATTATCTTCAGTTAACGCCAACCGTTTCACGAATCAGTTTTACGCCTCATCGGCCCCGTCGTCTTCCGTCTCCCTGAGCAGTCAGCAGAATATCCAACAGCATCAGCAAGGTTCTGCCAGGCCCCCTGTACCATTGTTCAATCAGAGCATCGGTAGTGTCCATCAATCCGCCAAGATGATGAACGCGGCAGACGTAGACCTGGATGAGTTCACCGCCTTCGAAGGCGGTGCCTCCACGGCATTCTCATCTCCAGCGGCCCCATCCGTCATGGATTTCAGTGGTAGCATGTCAAGCTCCACTTCAAACTTGGGCACTGTTTCTCCTCAGGATTTGCTCGTCCAAGATCCCTTCATGTCTGCGCCAAATTCATCTGCTCTTACTGCCCTGACGTCTCCTTCCATTTACAACGAGTCTCCGGACTTTGATGGATATGACGTCTCTCCCAACTTTGGCAGTGCAGACTTCGAGACATCTGGCGATCCTTGGTACCCCCTGTTCCCTCAGGACTCTAGCCACAGTGGTCCCGAGTTGAAGCTGGAGGATTCACCTGCCCAGAAGTCGGATGACATTGACTCTGTCGGTCCTGGTTCTGGCTCTGGCAACCGTAAGAAGGCTACCAACTCGCCCACAAGCAGTGGTCGTCATTCTTCCGTTGCCGGCGTCGGCTCGCGCAAGCGAGACAAGCCTTTGCCACCTATCATTGTCGAGGACCCCCGTGATACCGTTGCCATGAAGCGAGCTCGTAATACTCTCGCAGCTCGAAAGTCGCGTGAGCGAAAGGCTCAGCGCTTGGATGAGCTGGAGGATCGTATTGCCAAACTTGAGGCGGAACGTGATCATTGGAAGAAGATTGCTCTCTCGCAATCTGGCGCGCAGACATAAAAGTTTTATTGTTTTCCGGTCTTTTTCCTCGCTTTTCCTCGCTTTTCCTATACGCCAGTTGACCTGCGGTGTCCGTGGGAGAGTCTAATCTTCGAGACTTGTGTTTTTCAGTTAGTTCAGATATAATTTCAATTTCTTTTTTTGTATAATCTGAATGAATTCCTCTGTGATCGTGCGTGTTTCTTGTGTCAAATGCATCAATGAGCGAGATTGGTATTCGTTCTCTAGGCTCTGGACAGACCATGATTCTGTGCTAATATCCAGGCCGTTGTGCTATTGTGCGTCGGCTAGCTGAAGTCTCGAGAGATGTCCCTCTGGGTTGTTCACAGAATCAGCATAGGGTAGTTCGGTCGGCTACGCGACGTCAATGATGTACTTCAACGCGCCGAGCTCACCCCTTAGTCCCCAACTTTGGTGTTTCCAAGTCAGCTAGCTGTTCTGCTCCATCTCAGGGTAAAGAACTACATATTTCGGCGAATTTACTCCAGTTGTCGAAAGCATACTCCGTATCACCCCGTAGTATCGCGCAACTTTTGCCATAATCTAATGCCACGACCAAGCATGCTAAGCATCCAAGTATCTTCAAAGATCCGTCATGAGATAGTACGTGAGAACCTCAGCGTGAGTCAAATCTTTAGTAAAAAAAAGGTTTCGCGAATCACAAGTGATCCTACTGCTAGTACTAGCTCAAGGCACTACCCAATATAGTTGCGGCTGAAGATTACCGTGACCCGCTGACGGTGAGCGTACAAAACTGAGCAAGCCCCTTTCCTTTTCTTAGCCTCACGCTTCGATTTTGAACCCCAAATCCGCCACTCTTTGTGCCCATTGCTGTAGCATTGTCCTTTGTCTTCAGATCTATCCTACCTGTCACTCCTTCACTCGGGTGCCGGCGCGCATCTGCTCTGTCTTGCATTGTAGAAGAGCCAACATCTCCAATACACATCTCCAATACACAGGAGCCTCCCTGTTGGAACTTGTGTGCTACCATCCCCATTACAATGGGTCCCCATTCCTTTGCTCTCGGAGCCCTGTGCCTCGCGTCTCTGGCCTTCGCTCGTACAGATCTCGTTGGATGCACATACTTCGACACAGTTAGTGCCTACCCCGGTGGCCAGTCCTTCGCAACTCGTATCTGGTACGTTCCAGGATCTGGCGAGCTATGCGAATTTCTCGACTGTGGCGGCGGCCGGGCCCCTCCAAAGACAACCGTCCCGGGATGTGCAGCTTATGAGGGAACCGAGACCTATTCGCCCTCGTTTATCAACCCGAAGACTCTTGGCCACGCTCCGGCTACTGTCAGCCCGGCCAAGACCACTAGCAGCTCTGCTGCTGGAAGCTCTACCGCTGCTTCTTCCCCTGGAATCACTGGCACAGAAGTGCCTGCTACCACCGAAGCCTCTGCATGGTCAGAGACCGGTTCAAAAACAGCAATGGTGACGAGCACACCATCAGGCTCCGGAAGCAGGGGAGCGGCCATGACCAACACCACGAAACCCACCACGATAAGCAGCACCGGCGCGGCTGCCGGCCTTCCGACAGCCGGTCCAGTAGTATTGGGTTCCTGGATGGCTGCCGGTGTCGTTGCTGGACTTGGCCTATTCTAAACACGCCTAGTTGCCTAAGCAGTGACGTAATGGGCCGAAGATGTTGTACATTAGCTGGTATAGACTGTTATGGAATATTAGCATACTGTATAATGAAAATGTCAAAATGCGGATGCGAAATACCGCAAGTTATATTCTCATGATGCTTAAATGCACCAACATACACTTGGCGATGGATGGATATGTTTTGCATATTCTGTGACACTATCATACTCGGAGTATGTTGGTGGTAGGTGGAGATATTTCTACCCTTCCGCGTTTGACCACATGGCAGTTATTCAATCCGTGTTGCGTCAATTTCATTACGTCGGCAATGGATTTGTGCCGGCACTCGAGATCACGGCCCGGTCCCATGACACGTCCGGAATCGGCGGTTGGTGCCTGCGGGAGTCTTGGGGTGACATTCGGTCCAGGCTCTTTGTCTGTACCATGTGTTGCTCCCTCTCTGGACCATATAGCCGGGGTCCAAAACATGAATGTGGCTGTTTGGTTGGATAGGACAAGAGGGGCGTGCCGTGATGTGCATTACAGCAGATACACAAACTCCAGACAAGCCGGAGCGTAAAGGAGTGTCAAGATTGCATATTTCTCTGCAAGTCCATGTCGTACCCAACCGGTGAAAACATCGAGAAATGCTGCATAAACAAGGTGGTAGTTGAAGAGACTCGGAAGCCGATCGTCATCCAGGTTCTCACGACTACTTCCCAGAATGGTAATTGGGGTCAAGGATGGGTGGGCCAGAGAATCGCCAGGCTTCCAAAGTTCCTTTTTCCTTCGCTTGATGTTCACCATGAGACGGCACACGCCGGACCCTCCACTCACCCACAGCCAAAGTAACTTCAAAGCTTGAGACGTCTCTCTGCAGCATTTCTTGCCCGCCCCTCTCTGCTAGTAAGACGTCGTGTTACGACAACTGGGAAAGGGTCATGTCAGGACAAGGGTTGATAGGCTCGACCAGTGCTGCTGTACGAGAAGATGATGTAACCAGTCCACTCAGGCAATGCCTCCGGTTGGATGAACTGAATGGTCAGAAGAGGCTGACGGATAAGAGCATCGACAATCCCGGCGAGAAGTGCAGGCGCAAGGAGACGATTCTGACCAAGGTTAAGTAACTTAAACGTTCAAATTTTCTGAGAACCAATCCGCCAGACGGTATCTGCCATCTTCTCCATGTTGCCGCCAGTTGACAGGCTAAGAACAAGGTCTGAGTTGTCGCCCCGCCTGACTACGCTTAACTGGCAACAACGGGCTGGTTGGGGCTTCTGGTGGAAAGCGGAAGGAGCACAGCAGATTCCGGCAGATGATCCGAGTAGAGGTTAAGAAGGAAGGGAAGAAGGAAGGAACTAGGGGTAGATAATCTCAATCTCAAAGTACGCAGTAAGGAGGAGAAAACAAAAATAAGCCCCCCCAAAAATGGAAAAAATTTGCTCCCTGCATCCGCCAATCGCTCGAATTTCTCGACACAGACGCAGGATGTTGTCAACACGCTGATTTCATTTGTGATAGCCGCCGCTCCGTATAACTACCAGCTGATTATCATCTTATCACACCTCTTCAATTCGTCCGTAGGACTCCGCTGCAAGAGAACGTTGGGCCAATTTCGAATTTTGAGACCGTGCAAGCACACCACCTGCAAGAGCACAGTTCAATACTCACGTCTGAAAGAAACGAAGACGACTGTCCGCCCAATCGAATCAAGCACTGTAATCTTGTTCTCCATCGCCCTGCCACCCCTCGATCTTTGGCGGCCTAGCCTAATTGACCTTCCCAACACCGTGGGGGAAGAATGGGAGCAGCATTGGAGCAGAATACTAGGCAGACGCGCAGCCCGAGTTACGGACCTGTGATACTTGGATTCTTCGCCGACCTGCCACATCTGTCCACCTGACCCACGCCATCGCCGCATGGTCCGGTCCAGGACGGCTCCCCCAGGTCGCCAGAGCTCAGCAAGCTTCGCTACGTCTCGTTACCCCAAACATTCACGCATTTCTTTGTCTCATCGTGCTACCCCACACACACCAAATCCAACCGAGCCGGACCAACCACCTACCGCCGTCACCGACTCGGGAGACGTAGCGCTCCAGATGCCCCAATGCCGGCCAACGGAGCGCCGGTGCTCTCCCCGGAGGGGGCACTCGATTTACTAGATTTCTGGGGAGGGCGGGCGGAAGAGTTTGTGGAGGAGAGGCGCAGCTGACTCGAATCACAGGGCCAAAAAGTACGTAATGGGGCCGTATGTAACCGTTGTGCTTTGCCAAACAAAGCCTGGCATTGGCAGGCAGCACCAAAGTCCATGATGCTTCGCCAGGCCGTCCGACTGGCACACTTGATGCTTTTGTACGATCGGTGGGGACCGAAGGCGAGGCATGGCACGCCTAGCGAGTCACGAAGGTTGCCGCCCTGACACAATAAAACCACATGGGATCTTGGAATCTCTCAAGTCAGATCTTGCCTCCCATCCACACTCTCTTTCCTCTCCATCACCCCACAAGAACCGTTACACCTATAATACACAACTACTCATCTCTATGATCACGCCCATAACCTGGGGAAAGAGCAAACAACTTCTATTGGACAATGGTTTTGTGTGCTGTCTTCACTCCACCTGCGTTTGACCTCAACAGCCACCTTCGCAGCCCGAGTGCTCCATCATAAAGCAATTGAGGCGCCAAGCTTGCTTGGTTTCCAGCTATCAGGTCTATTTACACAGCATCGTCTAACGAGACCAGACATCATGGGTTCTCGAGGCACCATTGCTCAGCCAGAGGGGACACCTCGCTCCTGGTGCAGAGACAACTTCTTCCTCACTACCGACAAGACATTCCTCGACCCCAAAGCCGTGAACGAGGTGTTTGAATCGGACCTTATGTGGTGGAACGATCCCCTCGAGCTTAGCCAGATGCGCAAGATGCTTGACAACTGTCTCACCCTGGCAGTCTTTTATGTCCCAGACACTGAGGAAGAGATGATGAGTAAGTTTGTGCCCAACAATCTCTGAAAATCAACAGAGCAAGTACATGACATTCGAGAACCGTCTTTGGACCCTTTGTCTAACCTTTCCTTTTTCATTTTCTTCAAATTAGGCAATGGCGGCATGCCTCGATACATGAATAACGGCCCTGATTTCAGAATGATCGGTCTGGCTCGCATTGTGACAGACTACGTCAGCTTGGCGTACCTCACCGATGTCTTTATCATCGAGGAGTTCCAGCGTCGAGGCCTTGCCTCATGGATGATGCGTGCTCTGAAGGAGCTTGTTGACGAGTGGCCAAATCTTCGTGGCCTCATGCTCATGGCCAGTGACAAAGCTGCTGCTCGCATGTATCAGCGCACTCTCGGCGCGGTCGATTTTGATAAGGGCCCCTCAGCAGGGATGGTCATGTTGGAGATGGGAGGAAAGGGTCAAAAGGACGTTCCGGATGAGCATTAATTCGGAAAGAGGAAGAGAATGGAAAGACAGTGCGGAAAAACCGTCGCGTCAATGACCCGTCCGTATGGCTTGTTATGCCTCCTCCCCATCTCTACTGTTCTCTTTTTAGAACAATTGGCATCGGCCCGGAATTTCGATCAACGTTAGCATAGCAGTTTTTCTTTTTTTTTTAGCGTACGGCCTTGGACTGTGCAGCTCTCAGTTCAACGGCTCGTTTGTATGGTGGCGCAATGGGAGGCTGGACAGGATCCAGAGAGACATGGTCCTCAGGGAGCAGATAGGATGCATCAGAGTCGAAGGCTGATAGATCTCCACAAGCGACAAACGGCGCAATCCATCGCGTACTCCTGTCGCTGCCTTGGTTGTTGTTGTTGTTGTTGTAATTGCCACTGCCGTCGCCATCTTTCGTTTCGTCGTAGACTTCGAGCTCCGTGATACTAGAAGAATCAAGGGCATTTACACCCATGACCGATGCTGGGGTGCAATCCCATGCGCCAGTCTGCGGATTTTGCATGGCCGCGTGAGCTACAACAGGCAACTGCAGCTCCCTCTCCTTGACCATCTTGTCCAATCTTTCTCCCACACCCAGGGGCTCTTCTAAACTCGCATGGAATCCCGTGGGCGGTCTGAAGTTCAAACACACGATGAAGGCCTCCATACTGCTCGCCCTCGAACTTCTCGGCTTCGCCACGACCACCTTTTCGAAAAAGATCTTGAGCTGCGCATACAGCACGTCCACGTTCCGCCCTCTGAAGATCTTGGCCACAAACTTGCCGCCCGGCTTCAGCACGCACAGCGCCAGGTTCAACGCCGCGAAAAGCAGCTGGCTCTGCACGTAGATGTCCAGGTCATGCAGGCCGGTCACGTCGGGCGCGCCGTCACTCAGCACCAGGTCCACCGGGTGCGAGGCCTTGCCCTCGGCCGCGCCCTCGGCCGCGCGCTGCGCGTCGCGGCCCGGGTCCAGCGCCCCGAGGAGCAGCGGCACCGTCGCGGGGTGCGTGATGTCCGCCTGCAGCGTGGTGATGCCCGCCAGGGGCGAGATGGGCTGCAGGTCAATCGCCACGATCTTGACGTCGTCCCTGGGCCGGGAGGCCGCGTGCTGCGCGGCAATGGCGGCCTCGACGGCCGACGTGCCGCCGGGCGTCGTGGATGCCGGGAGCACGGAGAGCATGGAGCGCCGGAGGTGCGCTTCGCCGTCTTGCCATGACTTGAGCCCGAATTGCTCGTTTTTGATGAGCACCCGCGACAGCACTTGGGACCAGGAGCCGGGCGCGGCGCAGAGGTCGACTACGCGGGAGACGTTGGCGAATAGATTGAATTCTGGGGACGTTAGCCGCGTGTGCGTGTGTGTGTGTGTGACTGGGTTTGGACATGGGAAGACGTGACGGACCTTCGTCGAGCTGGAGGAGTTTGAAAGCGCTCCTGGCGCGCCAGCCTTGTTCTTTGGCGAGGCGGTAGTACGCATCGCGCTTGTCTTTGGACGATTTGCCCATTGTGAGGCGGGGACGGTGCTAGCTGGTGGGAGAGAGTTGGGCGTTGAGGTTGGATTTTCGGGGTTTGGTACGTTTTTTTTTTTTTCGCCTTTGGAGGTTTGATACCACCCCCGCGATAGTGGGATGGCGGGGATGGATTGCCCCGCAATTCTCTAGTATTTGCTACTTAAGTAGATGACAACCTAGACGACGACTTGCACTTCATATTCGCATGTTCAGTGTACCCATCTGCATGAAAGTGATTATAGTTGATGAGTAAACCGTCAGTTATGCTTTATTTATACCTTAAATGCTACAAGCCTGCATGTTATCGTACATCCAGCATTCTAAATGATCCCCAACTCACTGCCAACAGCCTCCAACGCCTCTCCCAGTAATCTCAAGATCGTGTCATCTCCGCCGACGCCTAATGCTCTTACCAACAAGGGATAAAGCCGCAAAAGGTGCTTCCTTCTTTCGCCTCTAGCCTTCTCTAGCGAAGGAATAGCCTCACCACGGCTTTCAAGCTCTACAAGCTTCGTCAATGTCCAGACTAGTTCCTTGCGCTGACTGAGTGGTTGTGGCATCTGTCCACGTAGTGGCTGGTCAGCGACATAGGCGCGAATGGTTAGTGCGCATCGGAGAATGAGAAATGGTGCTGCTATGCTGGCGATGCGGTTTCGAAGTGTGGATACCATTTCCTCTTGTTCAACTTGTTTATTTTTCCTTGATTTTTGTTTCATGGGTTCGAAGGCTGTTGACTCTACAGGGTCTTGGGCGGACACCAAGGAGAAGAGCTCGTCGAAAGCAACGTAGGCCATCCTCCTCCGTTGCGTGGGCGGAATTGCGACCGTACGACCTGGCCTCGGCGCGTAAAGGGAGTGTAGGCCATATTTGTCCTCTTTGTCTGGGAATTCTTGTTCTGTATGTGTGAAATTGTGAATGATGGAATTCTTAAAGAGGCTCTCGGCATACGATTTTCTGGTTTTATCGGGAATATCATCTGCGCCAAGAGATGGAATTATGAGGGCTCGAAGGCTGCGGAACGATGAAATGTCAAATGTTTCGTCCTCGTCAAAGGATGCTCCATCGGCATTCTCATCGCACTCCGCACTGAGGATACCATCTGCCACACCGACGACGGCAACCCAGATTTCCTGAACAGTGTTGCTGGGAATTCCTAGCGCCCTTATTTTTGGGAGTGTAGCCTCCAGTATGGACAGCACTGACGAGGTTGCTAGTCTCCAAGGCTGGACTGATTTTGTAGAGATGGGGAAGTCGTATTTCAAAGCAATTGGCTTGTGAAGAGCTGACAGCGCATCCGAAAACGCACCACTATTATAAATGTCCTTCTCAGACGCGTGGTTCAATATGAGAGTCTCGACAAGCTTCATACTGGCCTTGGACATGGCCACGTAGGTGCGTTTCGAGCCAGAGACATAAAGCTCTCGTTTGTACGCCAATGTGACAAACTCTGACACTTGTTTGATCACGGCTGATATCACGCCTTCCACATCGGTTCGGATCATTTGAACAGCTGCAAGTGTTTGAGTCTGCAGACTTGTAGCATGCTCAATGTCTGAAACATGTGTACTAACTGAAGCTTCTTCCACAGTCTGACGCAACAAGGTAAGCATGCGTCTTACAGTTTCAACAGTCAAATCTTCTTGAATTAGATTGTAGACATCTCGCAGTGCCGCGACGTACGCAACCAAGCAGTTCTGATTGTCTTCTGCTTTGTCGCCCACCGCCTTTGAGGTCGGAATGCCCCTTGACCACAAGTCCCACGCGAATTCAACCGTCATCTTATTGAAGATTGGTTTCTTGTTGTCTCCAGTTTGTGAGAGAACATGACTCAGGGCCTTGAAAGCAGCAGTATTGATCTCAAGAACCTTGAAATCAAGCAAGGTGGCAAAATGCCCAAGAAGTTCTCGCCAAAGCTGATTGAATGACGGATGAGCTGTGAGAACATCGATGTGATTGGCAAGAAGGCCGGAAATGCCATCAAGCACCACAACAGCAGTGCCGTGCCAGTCCACTTTGTCCCTTTCATTTACATCATCATTAGATGCGGCGTCAAGTTCTTCCTCTAGGGAACAAAGAAGTTTGAAAATGACCGACTTGATGCATATTGACCAAGCCTCTGGATTAAGGCGGCCGCCATTTGCATCAAAGATTCTCAACAATGTTTGAATGGCCGAATTTCGCAAGTCAAGACGCTCATCCGAGGCGACTGTGGCTAATCTGAGAAGTAGTAGCATCCACAAGGCAGCATCTGAGCCCTTTTGTGTGTGATCTGCTGCCTTTCTTTCTAGCTCGGACTCGTCAGATCCATTCAATAGATCCGCTCTGATCTCTAGAGAGTTTTCTTTTGCAGACAGAAAATCCGACAATACCCAGAAGAAGGTAACCGTCTGCAATGTTTTATCAGTATACACCACACGCCCATGAAAATATACCATGTAAACTCACCGTTAGCGCAATGTTAAGATCATCGTCCTGGGAGCAAAATTTGTACAACGTATCCACCAGAATCAAGAAGCAAGAATTAGGAAGAGAGGATAAAAAGTCCGAGCAAATAAGCTGCAATGAGCCGAACGCCGATCGAGTCAGCTTGGGTGATCGTGTGGAGAGCAATCCGGCCTCTGGACGCCGTCTACGTTCCTGAATAGCATTCGAGGTCACGAATCCGCTGCCAATGATGTCGAACGCAATATCCCAGCCACTCACCAGGCTCTCACCACAGCCCTCGACCAAACTCTTTAAACCTTCCAGGATGATTCTGTGAACCTCAATGTCTGTCGCCACACTGGCTACTGATGCAGAGCGAGCGTTCTGGTTAAGAGCTGTCAGTGCATCCCGCAAGGATGAAAGCAGCCTTAGCTGCACCGAACCTCTGCTGTCTTTCGGTATCGACGTTGTTGCCGTAGCTGCTTCGAGGATAAAGCGGGAGAGCGTCTCTGCAGCTTTAACCCTCACATGGGCGCCTAGAATGGGGGAATCAAGTGCGTGGATGATCTCATTTGTCAAGATATTCCAACCCGATGCCGCTGGGTTATTCATCAGAAGCCTTTCCAAGTTCACATTCGCGATTTCACCAAGTTTGGCCAGTGCGAACAAAAATTCTTGATTTGGCGATGCAGAAACAGTGGTGGAAAAGCTCAACACGCGGCGATGGCCATGGCCAAGCTGCTTCTGCGAGGACTCGATGGGTGACGGAGAAGCAGAGTCACCCGCTTCCGGTTTCTCTGGAAGGTTTTGCTCTAGGAGATTACACACCGCTTCGACTACTTCGACGAAAGGTGCGTTGGGGAAGTCAACAGTGCTTTCGATCAATCGCGAGGCAGCAGTTTCAACAGATCTTATCTCATTATTAAAGTTGGCCATTAATGAATCGGAATCACCGCCGTGTTCGGCTCCGCGGCCTATGGACGGGGTTCGACCAGGTGCCTTGCCAGTGGCAAACAATACGAAATCCGCCTGTTGCAAGGTCTCAAAGATGATGCCCCATGCTGAGCCCAAGGTTGGGCCAAGCGCAATCCCGAGGTTGAGAAGGGCTCGCAAACAGAGCAGATTCCGAGTGTTCAACGACACTGCGGCGGCGTCAAAGGAGACATTCCGTTGCTTTTCTGCTGAAGGAGAGGCCGGTGTTAATGTCTCAACACTTAAAAGACCACGGGCATTGCTGAAGAGTGTGTTTGCCGTGTCAGACGGGGTGCTGGGCGCCACAGATTTGGGCTGGCCCGAGTTCATACAAGCAGTGAGCAAATTAGGCGGCACAGCAGACTTGCCCAGTGTTGACAAGAAGGCGTCTCTAGGAGTAGTAAGCTGCAGCAGGCCAGATACATGGGCAAATCTCTGAAACGATCGCACCAGGCTGTGATAATACTCGGAATCGAGAGCAGCGTATAAGAATGTAGAGAACGTTGCAAGAATGGCAGGCCAGCATTCATCAACAATGGCGGCGCAAATTTTGATGTCCGGGTACATTGGGTGATCTTTAAGTTGAAGCGGATTGACGGGAACCGGATTCTTTTTAAAAGAAGCTGTCCGTTCTAAGCCTGCTAATTTCTTCTCCGGCAGATCAGAGGACGCGGGAGAGTCTCGACCAGAATCGTGCTTCGAGGCCTTGCGGCGGCTGCGGCTCTCGCTAGGGACCGTAAGGGGTAGGATAAACTTGGCCAAACCGTCAGATAAAGATGAGAGACACGACAGAATCAGGCTGTAGACGTATGATTCGGGGATGGACGGCGGGTCGGTCTTGTCAAGTTGGTCAATGCAAGGTACTCTAATAGAGCTCCATTGAGTGCTGATGCCCGTGTTTGAAGCTTCAGAATTGATGGAGCTACTAATTATGCCACTCATGCCGGCCTCAAGCATCGCCTGATCTGTGGATTGAGCAAGATTTGTCGACGGATCGGACATTGGCATGGTAGACTGATGACCAAGCCCGATTACTGCAGGCTTTTCTGTGCTTAGCCTAACAAAGGTTGCTGCCAGTGTCTTGATGATATCCCTCTCCCCCTTTTTGTCATCATACAGGGAGAATATCTTTCGCACCAAGACGTAGTCGCTAAATATGCTTCTGAATACTTCCATGCAGAGTGCTCTCTTCCACAATGCCGAATCCTGGTCCAGTAGGTGTGTGAGGATTTCCAGAGCGTCACCGCATTCCTTTGGCAAAATGTCGATGTGTCTTCGCAGCATTGTGTACAGAATGCGGACAAGCCTGACTGTGGTAGCAAAGGAAGGCCTGCCCTTGAGAGCGCTGACAATGAGAGGCATTACTCTGACGCGAAGAATATGGGCCTGCTCAGCGTGTGTAGTGAATACAGAGGCGTGATTTGTTATGACAGACTCAATCAGCTCCAGCCCGAAGGTTTGTGGAAGGCTCGAGAATCTCAAGAACTCGGGTCTCTGGTTCTCAGTCATGAGGCATAGGTCGTTGAAGATCTACCATGCCGGTCAGCTACATTCGTCTTCGGAATTGTATGAGATAGCCTACTCTGTATGCATCAAGAGCCGCTGCACGAAGCTGAACCGTCCCATCCGCAGAGGGCGCTTCACCAACCACCGGAGCATCTGGTCCATTCTCTGAGCAACTTGTCAGCCATCAATAGGTATTGTAGCGTCCCCCGCAAACCAAGAACTTACTATCTTCTGAAACAACTTTATCAAATACCGAAACAACCAACTGCTGCAGCGTTGCGGCACTTGTATTATTCACAATCGCATTCTTGCTACTTTGCAAAATGAAGCAAATGTTCAACGCTGTCACTAGCAAATTCCCATTCAACTCGGCAGAGTAGTTCTGCAGCAAAGACGGCAGAGCCTGCAGAATCTTGAGCTGAACATCTAGCCCAGCAGAAGACGCCTGCATCAACGCCTCCAGGACTTGGTTGAGCTTGGACTTGGGCAAGGCCTTGGCGACGATGAGCCGCTGGAGGCATACAATGGCGATGGCGGTGAACTTTGCGTTTTTCGTCCCGCATGCTATGATGAAGGGGTTGACAAAGTTGGGTTTTTGCGAGAGCACTGGACACACGAAATGGTTAGATGACGACGGATTCGAAAGAGCTTGGCTTTGACAATGCGCATACATTCTGGGGCTGCTTGCTCAGATACGCTGCCAAGCTGCTTGAGCTCCTCAAGAGACTTTTCAGCCGCCTACAACGGAGTATCAGCACACTTTCGTACATGATATAACTCGATTTAGCGTCACGCGATGCGCTGCAAGCGTACCTGTCTCAAGTCATTATGCTTCCTCTTGCTCTCGTGTATGAGGTTCGCCAACTCGTTGGCGAGCAGTTGCGTCGTCATGTTAGGCTAGCCCGCGCGAAAACCCGCCCGTACGTACGCAAAGAACCCCGTTTCTCATCCATGCAGCTTCAGGGATTAGCCGGCGCGCAGTTATTTATCCAGATGAGATTGCGGAATTTAATGTTCAACCGATGCACTGTTGGTGTTGACGTATGACACGAGAGACGGCTGTGTGAGGTGTGGTGCCTGCCAACAAAGGGGACGTGGCCGGTTCAGGCCCACATGCACCCGCACCTTCTGACGTTAGAAGAATGGGTACGATAACTGAGGTGGTTGAGGGTTCGAACCCCTGGCATAGCGTTGGAGTACTTTTTTCCCTTTGGGTTTCGTCCGCTTGACTTGTATCATGTTTTTTTTTTAATAAAAATAAACCTTTTAAACATGGTTTATTTACACTTTTAGCTTAAAGATATCTATTTTTTAATTCTTGAAATCTTCGCCTTTTTTTTTTCGCAATATTACGCGGAGTACTAAACATACGGAGTATTACTAGTAGGCGCAGGTATCGACACAGCTCCACATTCATGCGCGTCGTCGGATGTACTATATCGCGTGACAAGACTCTCTCTGCCCACTTAGCATCGCTTCTCCTTTCCTGCAGCGTATCTAACTAAGAAGTCAGTTTCGTGCTAGCATTGAGTCTCCATATGTACACATCAGAAAGATGGTGCGTGTTGATTGAAATACGAATAGTTATAAATAGGTGCCAGCTCTATGGCATAACAACTCGAGGCAATCCAACGTATCTAAGCGGATGACAATCCAAGTTCATACATGATTCTTTTCTCCGTGAACCCCCCATTATCGAAGATAAAGAAGGACTTAAGCCCGTGCCACGTGAATCTATGGCAATGTGACGAAAATCATGGCAGAACCAGCTCTGCGAGTCTAGCGGCCGGACGGCCAGTGCAGCAACATGCGCTTTATTCTAAAATTGCTTCAAAATAGCGCATTAAAAGGCTTTTTGCTTCGTAAATAAGTAAACAAGCAAATGATTTCAACACCAATCACCAAGTCGAGCTCGGCTCCTCCCAAAATACAAAAATATCCTCACAGCACTGGGGAACGCGTTAGCTAAAGCCCGTTGTTCCATGTCGAGTGTAGGGAGCTGACTCACCGACGCCAAAGCAAACTTCAAATCCAGTCATGAACACGTGAACGCTTAAACAGGAGCGTTGGTGAAGAGGTAAGAAACAGATTCACCGTTGTGTGTGCGGCGGATAGCCTGTTTAGAGTTAGTTGTGAGCTGATCCGATCTTGGTCGACGAAAGTTTTCATCGCACGTACCTCTGCCAGAGTAGCCGAGACGTCAATCACCTTGAGTTTGGGACATCTTTCAGTCTTATCACCGAGGGGGACGGCTGCAGAAATTGTTAGCATGGTATTTTTGATAGGCCAGAATAAATAATCTCAAGTGTAGCTCACTGTTTGTGACAACCAAGCCGGCAAGGCAGGAAGCGTTGATGTTCTCGATCGCCTTGCCACTCAGAATGCCATGAGTGACAATAGCGTAAACCTCCTTGGCACCGTGCTGGTTGACAGTCTCGGCAGCCTTGACAAGCTGTTGCAGAATGGTTAGTCCATGCGGCTTCAAAGGAAAAAAAAATGGAGGAGAGGATGAGTTTGCATACGGTGCCGCACGTATCAGCCATGTCATCGACCAGGATGGCAACCTTGTCCTGAACATCGCCAACCAGAACCATGCGACCAACGACATTGGGGCGAGGTCGCTCTTTGTGAATGAGAGCAAACCCGACATTCAAGCGGTCAGCAATGGCAGTGGCTCGCTTGGCACCGCCGGCATCAGGGGAGACGATGACGCAGTTTTCTGACTCCAGATTCTCGCGGATCCAGCGAAGAACGGAAGGCTCAGCATAGAGGTTGTCGACAGGGACGTTGAAGAAGCCCTGAATCTGAGAGGCGTGCAAGTCCATGGTAATAACGTGATTCTAATAAAGGGGAGTTAGCAAAGATGGTCAGAGCTTATAATCGGGCGTTGATGAGTTTTACATACGCAACCAGAGACTTGCAACATGTTGGCAATGAGTTTGGCACTAATCGGCGCACGCGACTTGTCCTTCTTGTCCTGGCGAGCATAAGGAAAGTTGGGGATGACGGCAGTGATGCGACGAGCAGAAGCAGTCCGGCAAGCATGGATCATGATGAGCAATTCCATGAGCCCGTCGTTGACGTCTCCGGGGGCAGTCGACTGAAGGATGAAGACGTCTTCATCTCGGACAGATTCTCCAATGGACACACTAGTCTCTTGATTTGAGTAGTTGAGACTCATTGTGTTGGCGACATTGATGCCCAGCCTGGGGTGAAATATCAATCAGCCAACGACGCCAGGTGGATACATGATGAATGATGTGCCAGTGCCACACATTTTGGCATCAGTTGCAAAGGCGAGGGGGGGAAAAGAATGCATACCGACTGGCGACTTTGGCACTCAGATCCGGGTGAGAGCTCCCCGAAATGAGCTTGATTTCGTTTGCCATTTGGTCCAACATGGCCGGTGATGTTCGGCGGGGAGGGGGAAGTCGGGAAGGAGCGCAGATGAAGTCGATCGAGGTCAAGTGGGAGAAATTTTTAGCGGCACTCAGAAGGCTGCAAGTGTCGCGGGCTGCGGGACCAGACTGGGATTGATCCCTCTGAGACTCGAGTGAGACCAGGACTGCGAGGGGGGCCTATGCCTCTTTATCTTTTGGCTGTCGGTACTCAATTACGCACTTGATACAGGATAGGTATGGAAGTATGCGACGAGCGAGGACTCTACTACGCTCACGAGCTGCTCATGGGTGCGAGGCGTCAAAAGTTTTTTTCTCTAGACGTCGGCCGGATCAAGCCATTCGCTCGCCTGGGGCCGATGGATCAATCTCCAAGTCACTGCCGCCAAAACCAGGTGCTGCCCGCTGCCGGTCTCTCTGCTCCTCCCCATCTCCCTCGGCGCCGAGTCATGTGATGGGACGTTGCCTGAGTGCCAATTGAGACCTCTGGTGGACCGTAGGCGCATGTCTGGTAACTACTCCGTACTTGATCACGCACCAGTGACGGCTCGCAGCGGCTATGCTAGGCTGGGGCGTCTGCAGTGCGCTAGAGCGGCTGTCAGCCCACTAACATGGAACCAGACTGGACCGTTCCAGACGCGCTCCCAGAAGCCCAAAGCTAAAATCCACAGACAGCACTTCACCATTGCTGACGTCTTTTCGTCGTCACTTCGACCCCCCGCCAGTTCACCCGACACAATCGAGCACTAGCATCATCGCCCGTCAGCGACTCCGGCAAGAGAACGCCGTCAGCCCGTCGTCTCTTCTCGCCACTTCTTCCTTCTGGGCTCAATTGCGGCCGCTGCGTTGCATGGTGGTGCGGCGCCTGGTGTCGGCGCTGGTGCCCAAAGCTGCCCGCAACTCTGCCGTATCGCACACACACTCGTACTCACACAGACACAGACACACACCGCTTCTGCCAGGCGGTTCGACAAGAGACCTCACCATGTCCTGTGCCCCGACGACCATATCACCATGGAGAACTTGTCGTTTCTTCCGCCACGGTTAACGTCGTCGGCGTCATCGTGCTCGTCCCTCAACGACATGTCCTTGAGAAATCGCAAGTTGCGCCTGCTCGTTGCTGCCACGGGACCCCGTGACACATCGTGGGCCCAGGCCCTTGTCGTTCGACTCTCCAAGAACCCCCATATTGAGATGCGCGCCATCGTCGACGACGTCGTTCCCCGGCTCACACAGACCATCATTGTCCTGGAGAACCGAAGCCTGGCCGCGGGACAGTGCGGACGCGCCGACGACGTCGAGTTCTTTCGCCAACAAGCCTTTGACCTGGTCGAGTGGGCAGATCTGCTCGTCTGCGTTCCCCTGGATGCAGATGGAATTGCCAAGATGCTGGCCGGCATTGCCGACACCTTCCTCGGAGAAGTGTTCCGGGGGTGGAATATTCAAAAGAGCATCGTGCTCGTCCCGGGCATGAGCACACACATGTGGTCGAATCCAGCCACAAAACGACAACTCAGTAAAATACACAGAAAATGGAATTGGATCCGGGTCATGACGCCCATCCTGTGGCACTACGAGGGGCAGATGAACCCCAAACGGGTCCCCAACTGGAATGGCTTCAACGAGGTGCTTGGAATCATCAAAAACCAGGCAGATTTACTAGGCCTCGGCCGAGATGTCGAAATCGCAACCAGCGCCGCCGTGGTTCCCGACACCAACGATGTCCAGATTCGCTCCAAGCTACCGCCTGAAATATGGACAATGGTGCTTGATCACGCCGGCGACTGGGAGCTCGCCAAAGCACTCGGCATGTACACCAACCTGCCCATGCCAACGACGTGGTCACTCGAACCCAAAGATCCCACCGACCCTCTCAAAGTCTACGAGCACCAACTCGAATGGACGGTCCTCACCGGAAACCCGGCTGCCATATGCAAGAAGCTGTCGCAATCTCCGCCAAACTTCCAGTACGTGCCAGCCTTGGTCGTCAAACTCGTCATACGCTTCGCCCTCATCGACGTCCTGGCTTACATGGAAGCCAACCGCCCCGAGCTCTTCAGAGCCTTTGACGGCACCACCCTCCCCACCAATGCATCGGCGTACTACCCACGAACCGACGTCCTCGACTTTTGGAAACAGAGCAAGTGGTTCCGCGACGAACACATGTACGACGCGGAGGCCGTCGACGGGGCCTCCAAGAACGGCCACGTCCGCATCCTGGATTGGTGGTGGCGCCGCTCCGGTCTCCCGCTCCGGTATACGGAAACAGCTCTCGAGCAAGCCAGCGGGCGCGGACACTTGCTCGTCCTCGAGTGGTGGCGCGATGCCGCGGCGCAAGACGAAGAGATTGTCCTCCGACCAGGCCGGTCTCTTCTCTGGGCCTCGCAGTACGGGCAGGCGGACGTTCTTCAATGGTGGGACGCCTCAGGGATACCCGTTGCCCACGGCGATGGCGTTGCCAAAGTCGCATCGCGCTGGGGCCAAGTCCAGGTC